GGCCCGGGGCCCAGAGCCTGCCAGGTGAAGACACAGGTCACCAGTTCTGGAAGCAGACCTCAAGTCTGGAGGCCGGCGGGAGGGCAGCAGCGGGGAGGCGGGGGGGCGGGGAGGGGTGCTGGAGAGGGAAGGAGAAAGAGGCCACCCCTCCCCCCACAGACAATACGACCCTGCCCGACAGGGCCCTGTGTGACACAGGCCTGCCTGCTTTGACCCCCACCCACAACGCCAGCTGCCCCGGAGTCTAGAAGAAGGACTGAGCCCTTGAGAGTCCCCTCGGGCCGGACAAGAGTGCCCCGAGGGGCTCCAGGAGCCGGCCTCTGGTTTCCACAAACAGCCCCCGCCCCCACTCCATGCGTGACCTTCCTCCCCAGAGTCTGCCTGGAGGGGCGATGGTACCTTGGCAGCTCGAGTCCCTGCCGCTGCCCCTCTGTGCCAGGTGGGCCTGGCCCATGACTCAAGGCCTCGGGGAAGGGAAACCCGGGCCGGGGGCTCCATGGTCGCCTGTGTGCCCAGGAGGGGACGGAGGCAGGCACAGGGGCCGTGAGGACCAGGGCAGCAGTAGGGCAGCCGCGGGCCGAGGAAGGCTCCTCACAGGACAGGGGCAGAGCGGGCAGGGTCACAGCTGGGGGGCCTGGGCGAGCCTCACACACCGTGGGCCTCTCCATTGCCTTCCAAAGACTAAGGCTGGAGTGTCCTCTGCCACCTTCCCGGGCGCCCTGCACAGGTGTGCCCAGGCCCCGGCAGGGCAGCTGAGAGACGCAGCAGTCCGCACCCAGAGCCGCCCGGGTGCTTATGGGGCTTTGGGCAGGCCCCCCCTCTTCCTGAGTCTCAGTCTCCCCGCTTGGGGGTGAGCGTGACCACGGGTCCTGAGGTCCGGTGGGCGGGCGGGAGAGAGGCTGGGCCTGGGCTCCATGCGGGGAGGCCACCCTCAGCCTGGCGGCCTCCCCACCGCAGTCGGACTGGGCTTCAGAGAGTGGAGGATGTGGCCGGCATGTCCTCAAGCAGATGACATCCCACGGGGCTGGGTACGGCCTGTACTGGTGGCAGGACCCCACGGCACACGGAGGGCCGGTGAGTGGGGGGGCCCACCGGGCTGTGGCATCAGGGCCTGACGCTAATGTCACAGTCGTTGCCACGGTGCTCACGCCTGGCACGCGCCCGGCCCCCAGATGCCACGCCCCTCCCGTTAATTCTCACCACCAGGGTCTGCAGCAGATTCTCTTCTCTCGGTTGGGGAAACTGAGGCAAGGTCACCCCCGTGGAAAGGGTCGGCTCTGAAGACCAAAGGGTGAGCCACCCACAGGGAGTACACTGGACACCCAGCATGCCCAGGGGCATCCGCCCACATCCGCTGCCAAGGGCTGGCAGCGCCCCTCCCCCACCGTGCACGGGCAGAGGGGAGGGGGAGGCTTGGAGCACAGCAGTGCTCCTTCCACTTGTGACTCAGTCCCTCCTTGCTGGCACCCGTGTGACAGAATCCAGAGTGAGACTCACCCACAGACCGGGGGGGGCTCATCTTAAGGTGGGCCCCCTCCCTTCTCAGGGGTCAGCCTGACACATCTGGCCGGCAGGAGGCGACCCGTAAAGGTGGGGCACGGTGGGGGCGGCAGCCCAGACCCGGAACCCCCTGCCGGGAGGTGAGCACCTGGCGGCCCCGCACGCACGTCAGCGGTGGCAGCAGGCCCCCCCCCAGCCTCACCCCCCCCCCTCCTCCCGCAGAAGCTGCGGCAGGTTGTTGGGGAGACAGGAACCCAGATGTGCGCCGTCGCCTCCCTCTAATGGGGAGAGTCACCGGGAGGCGAAGACGCGGCTCAGAGGCCCAGACAGACACACGTCACCCGCCATTAACCGTAGCTAGACTGACGCATGCCCGGTCGAGGCACTCTGGCAGAGGAGCACACATCCCAGCTGTCGTGAATCTGCTCGGGCGTCCGGGCCCCTCAGGCTCCCCTGCCCCCCACTCACCCGCTCGCCACGCACACCCAGAGGGAGGGAGGGAGGTGCCGGCCCGCACCGTCACTGGAGCGGCCGGTGGCCGGCGGGCGGCTCAGCCGGGACCCCGAGGAGCAGGGGCCCCAGAGACCCAGGGGTGCAGGGGAGCAGGACATGGAGTCCAGCAGAGGTGGCAAAGGAGGCGGGCAGGGCAGGGGGAGCACAGAGAAGTGAGAAGGAGGGGCAGAAAAGTGCAGGGGCAGCGGAGAGAGACCAGAGCCCCACGGTGGGGGGCAGGGGAGGAGAAGGAGTTGGACAGGACTGGGGGGGGGCACGCACAGGAGAGGCAGAGCCGGGAGGGCCGCCCCTCCGCCAGCAGTGGTCTCTCACGCCTCTCACGCCACCTGCCACCGTGCTGGGGCGAGCAGAGCTGGCAACAGGAGGCAGCAGGTGGACCGGGCGTGTGCGCTGTGACCCCACCTCATCCACCCCCCGCCACCGGCCACGCAAGTGCAGGTACCCACGCACACACACGCACTCGCACACTCGTGGCCACCTCCTTCTTTGCAACACTGGTCCAGGGCCAGGCGGGGGGACAGAGCCCCCTCACAACCAAAGCCCTGCCCTGCCTCTGGCTCCTCTGCCCTGGCTATCGGCGGCAGCCCGGGTCCGCTTCGCCTGGTGGGCACGGAGCCCGGCTGTCAGGGCGATGACAGAAACCGCCGCCGCCAGACCCCGAGCCCACACTTGCTCAAAGCCCAGCGGCTCGAAAAGCTGGGCCCCGCGTGCCGCCAGACGCTAATGAGGACGTGACTTTCCCGTCTGGGGCCCTCGCCCCTGAGGCTGCGGGTCCCCTCCCCACCTCAGCAGCCACCTGTGTCCAGTCTCCTCCTAGCCCTGGTCCACTCGCTGACCCTGGAGAGTTCGGGGAGGCTGCCTCCCCGCCCCCAGCAACCCCAGGCTTCAGGTCAGTCCAACAAAAGCCCCGTCTCCAACCGGCCAGCGTGAGTGGCGGTGGGTGAACAGGGAGACCCCCCTCAACCCCCTCCCCTCCCTCCCTCCCTCCAAGCACCAATGGGCATCGCATCTGCAGGACCAGGGCGGCTGAAGGGCGCTGGCTGTCACAGTAAACCCTGTGTGTCGTCACACCATTAGTCACCGCCCCCTGGACCCTCAGAGCTGCGCGGCTCCTGCCCCACCCCCACCCCACCCCCACTCTCTAATTACGATTTCCAAGACGTGTCCTGAACCCTCAAATTAGCTCCAACTCCATCTCCGGGAGAAGGCGTCCAGCTGGAAGTCACACCCACTGCCACCCCACCCGCCTCGCCACCTTCTCGCTGGGGACAGAGGGACAGGTGTCTACTCTGGGGTCAGGGTCTCACACCGTCCTCAGAAGGGAGACCCACGCAGGCGTGGCAGCCACCGGACCGCCTGCGGGCTGGAAGGAGCGGGAGCGAGGGCGGGGAGAGGTGGCAAGAGACGTGTGAACCCTCCCTGGAGGGTCTACGGAACCGCCAGGGAAAAATAATCGCGGCTCGGCTTTGAGGAGAAAAGAACAACAAAAAAACAATTCTTTTGCTCTTTTTAAACACCGTGGCTTCAGTCCATCTTCATCACAGCAAAGGACATACAAAAAGGCACCCACAAGCCCTAAACTTCCGTGCGATGTTCTTTTCTCTACGTGCACCTGCCCCCCCCCCCGAGACACACACACACACACAAATCCAGACGGCTGACAGAGGACACGTCCGTGCGACACCTGTAATTTGCCAGCTGATCACCCGCCTGAGCATGGCCAGGCTGTGCAAGGAGAGAGATGACAAGACGGAGGGAGACGCGGAGCAGCGCCTTTCCCGAGTTTGTCCCTCATCCAGCAGGTTCTGGGGCGGAACCTGGGGCCCCTACCCTTGGGTGGGACTGGCCTAAGGACGCACAGCCGGCCTCTCCCCTTCCCGGAGGCCAGACCCTGCCCCTGGGCCGCTGACAGCCCAGCTGCTCATTCCCCAAATCCTCAGCCTGCCCCCCCAACTCCAGGAAGGAGACCAGGGGCAGGTGGCTCCCCTGGGGAGCCTCGAGACAGATAACCGGCAGCAGGGTGGTCGCTGTGACCCCACCGCCAACAAGGGCAAGGGCTGTCTGGGCACTGGCACGGGCCGGGGCACGGCGCCCACGGAAACAGCTGATGTCCTGGAGGCCACACGCACTGAATGCCCACTCCCAGCCCCAGACACCTCTGGCCAAGCTCACCCTGAGGCAGCTTGAGTTTGTCGGCTCTTGGGGAGGGAGAGAGAGGAGCTCAGAGGGACCACGAGAACCGGCAGAAGCTGGCAGGCCCGCCAGACGCTGTTTCGCTGCTGGCGGCGGCGGCAGCAGCGGGGGCAGCGGGGGCAGCAGGGGGCCTCCCTGCCATTCACCTTCTGCCCCCATCCCAGCACCTTCACCTCTCAATTGGGCTCACCAGGGCTCCCTTCCCCCGGTGCAGCGGGGGGCCAAAGCAGGGGACACTAAGCCCCTCGGTGGCACTGGCCACAACCAGGTGCCCGTGTCCTCTGCCTGTGGCCCTCCTCCTCAAAGGAAAAGGCCAACGGAGACAGGTGGGGGGGTGCCCCCTGCCCACAGCTGGCTCCAAAGGGCCAGGTTGCCACCCGGGAGAAAGAGCAGGGCAGAGGCGCGCCTCCAGTCCCACTGGGCAGGGGTCGCGGGCCGCCCCCTCGCCGGAGCCCAGGTTCCCCTTTCACCAGGACAGCCAGGGAATCGCCTGGCAAGCTCGCCCCCCTCCCCACCTCTTCCCGAGTCTTGGAGATCTTGCTCTGCTCCGTGCGGCCGGATTGGGGTGGGGGTGGAGGGGGACAGGGCACCGCGGGGAAGTTTAGCGACGCAGCCAGAAGCGCCGGGACCGCCGCTGCCTGCCCTCTGGGCTTGGGGCCGCCACCCCCGGGCGCAGCGGGCAGCGGGACCCAGCGCTCCCGCCCCGCTGCGGGGCGCAGGGAGGGACGGGCACAGGCCGGTGCGGGGGAGCGCAGGGCTCGGCCGGGGTCCGGCCGCCGGCAGAGGCCACTTACGTGTGCTGCTGCGGGAAGCTGTAGGCTGAGGCGCCGGGGGCGGCGAGCAGCGGTAGCAGCAGCAGCGGCTGCAAGAGCAGCAACAGCGGCCGCGGGGGCCCGGACGCGCCAGGGCCGGGCCGGGGGCCGCGGCGGGGCCAGGGTAGCGCGGTCCGCGCCGGGCCGGGCCGGGAGGAGCCGCAGGTCCGAGCCGGCACCGCCATGTTTCCATTCAAGATGCGGCGCCGCGGGGAGAGGGAGGCGGCGGCGGCGGGCTGGGGGCGCGGGCGGCGGGCGGCAGTCCGGCCTCTCTTCCTCCGCCTTCTCGCGCGGGGCCTCGCGGCTGCACCGGCCGCAGCGCCTCTGCGGGCTGCCGACTGCGCTCCGCGATCTCTCCGACGCGCTGGCTCTTAGCGCTCTGAGCGCTCGGCCCGGGACCGGCGCTCAAATAGCGGCCGCTGCCAACCCGCCGGCGCCGCCCTCCCGGCTCCCACCCCGCCCTCCCGGGCCGGCCCGCCCCCGCGCGCCTCCGCCGCGGCCACGCGCCCGCCGGTGCCTGAGCGTCCCTCGTCCTCGCGCAGCCCGGAGCCTGCCCTGCTGGCCCGCGCGGCCGAGCGAAGCCCAGGCGCGCGCGTCCCGCGCCCCAGCCGCGGCCCGAGCGCCCGGTGCGTGCCCCCGCCTGCACGCCTCAGACCCCGCGCTCCTCTCCGCCGCCCCCGCGGGAAGAGTTCCGGGCCCCGCGACCGGGCAGGCCCATTCGAGACCCTTCTGCGGGGCTCGACCTTCAACACCCTTAAGGCCTGGAGTCACAGGTTTAATGGTGACATGGCTGGCTTCAGCAGAGAGACCAGAGAAGAGGGCAGCGGTGCTGACTGAACCCAGCCCCAGGGGCTGCAGCTGTCTTCAAGAGGCCTCTGGGGGAAATTGGGTCCCCAGCCCCCGGCAGAGTCCCCTCGCTCCCTGAGTGAGAACCCAGTCCCGTTGCGCAGCTGTGAGGGGCTGGGAATGGCGGGATGCAACCCTCTGCAGGCACTCATTTCAATTCCCCGGGCCATGTGCAGGCACCGTGTGCAGGCGGGCCGAGCCCCAACCCCCAAGGCACGCTCAGCCTCCGTTTAGACTCCTGCAGCGCTGGCCGGGAAGCTCACCCCTGCACAAAACAATCATTTCGGCCCTGGAGGCCCCTGGCTCTTCCGAGCTGCAGGGAGACGGCTGGAGGGCTGGTGTCAATTCTTTCTCGCTCTTCAGCTTGTGAGCCTCTCAGAGCCTCAGTTTCCTCCCTTGTGACCGCTTGTGCGGGTGCCCACCCCCACTTCCAGGGGGAAGCGAGAATGGGAGTGGACTCCGTGGTAAACCAAAGTGCTCAAGGTCCGGGGGGGGGAAAGAGAGCACCCCTGAGATTCCCCGAAGTTGCCCGGGGCCCCGCTCTGCACCTGGTGCAGACAGGGTGGGAGGACACTGCTGCCAGCTCGGCGTGGGGCACGTCCCTCTTAGCAGTGACCACCCACAGGCTCTGTGCTTAGCCCGAGCAGTGAGGGGCAGTGAGCCCCCCGGGCAAGAGCCCCCACCTCACCATATCCGAGTGCGTCGCCTGTGGGCCACTCACAAGCAGCCTGAGGAGGACTTGCAGTTGGCAAGAGCGGTGGCCCCTGGACCGAGGAGGGCAGAGGTCAAGGGCTGGAACCAGGCCTTGGGGCAACCTTTCCTTGCCCCCTTCCCTGACCGGGCTGTCCCCACAGGCCAGGGCTCGACCAGGGAACAGCTTTGGCTCTTCCTCCTCACCTGACCCGAGTGAGTCTTCAGGGCCCAGACAGAGGTTTGTCAATACACCCCGAACAACGGGGCCTCCCTGAAACATTATCAGAGGCAGGCAGTGCCCTGGGCCCCCAAACCCCGACAGGCCTGGGAGCCAGGGAGCGGGAGGCGCCTGCTGGGTTCTGGGGGGCCAGGCCAGAACGGCTTTCCAAGGGACAAGCAGGGCCTCGTTGGGCCAGGTGCCTGGTTGTGCCCGATGCTCCGGCCCCCAACTCCAGGCAGGGCAGTCCCCCCAGGCTGGACAGAATTGGGGGGGGCTGCACAGAAGACCCAACAAGCCTGGGCTAACCAGCCCCTTCCTAGCTCCTCCAGCTGCAGCCTTTCCCTAGCATCTCTGCCTCCCCAGTGGCCAGAGCACGGCTGCCCTGTGGCACCCTTCCCCATCTGTGTGCAGGACAAGTGCCCACACTCATGGCCCCAGGGTAGCCAGCAAAAAGGGTGTCAACCCTCCTGGTGCTATTTGGGGCTAGGTACACACACCTGTCCAAGGCAAACTCCGCAGTGGCAGGGCGGGGAATGTCAGGGCAGCTTCCCTGTTCTTTGACGCCAGGCCAGCAGCACTGCCCCCAGAGAGTGCCCAGGCCACCAGGCCCCTGTACCCAGGCTGGGTGAGGCGCGTAGGCACTGGTAGCTGGGCACCCCGCCTCCGGCCTCCACAGATGTGCACCTAATTGAGCCGCTGGCACCAAGGGAAAGGCGGGAGATTTTGGCTGACAGGCCGTTAAAGGAAGACAAATAAGGAGGGGAGGCAATTAGGAGTGAACGGGTAGTAAGAGTTTACACGCCGCAACCTCCAAGGCTCCCAGCGGCTCCGGTCTCCTGGCGGCTGGCTGCAGCCACAGGTTGAGACCGTGGCAGGGGTAGGGGGAAGTCATGGGACTGGGCGGTTTTGGGGCAGGCACATTGATGCATGAGGCCGCCAAAGCCTGTCACCCACCTGGCCAGAGGTGTGGGTACTGGAAGGGGCGGGACAGCAGGGGCAGGTAAAGCTGCAGCCCACAGAGAGGGGCCTGTCCATGGCAGGGGGCCTGGCCGGTGCCAGTTCTGCATGTGGGCCAAGAGGGGTCAGCCCGGCAGACTGGAGGAACCGAGAGGTCTCTGTGGAAAACCTACTATGTGTCAAGCAAGTCCCGGGCTCGGTTATACGGCGTGCAGGAGGAGGAAGCCCACCAGGAGCCCGGGTCCAGGACCCCGGGGGCAGCAAGATCCCCACTCCGGCCTGCCCACCAGCAGCCTCCCCCCCCCCCCTCACCTGCTGCACAAGCCACTCCGTTTCCTTAGGGTTCCTCCCACCTGGGAGACCCTCCCCCGTCTGTACCACCTGAACCCAGGATATTTGCGGACCCACAGATACCACTTATTCCAGGAAGCTTTCCCTTCAAGCACCCAGGCTTCAGCATTCCCGTCCCCACTCTCCTGCCTCCGCCCCTCACCTACCCCCATGTGGCAGCCTCTGCCTCGGGGTCTGGAAAACACTCGCACTCTGGACTCTTGTCCATCAGCTGGGACCCGGGTCTCCTTATCCCTGTCGTCCCCTCAGGACCCCCCACACAGAGCCCGGCCACTGGGAGGACACCAGAAGCGTTGACATCGGGACTTGTGATGTCAACATGAGGCATCTCCAGGAGCCTGGGGCTGTGCCTAGGGGGAGTGGCCTGGGGTGCACATGAGCAGCAAAGGCTTCGGCATCCGATATCACAGGTTGTCTGGGCAAGCCGCTTTGCCTCTCTGAGCCTCGGTTTCTCCGTCCGTATAATGGGACACGTGGCTGTCACCGGGCGGGAGCGGTCTGAAGACCCAAAGCACGTAACACCTGGAAGGAGTGGCAGGACTTGGCGCTCAGCAAGGGCTCGGCGGAGGGAAGACCCAGAGAGTCCGGCGTGCTCAGGAAGGTCAGGTCGTGTGTGCAGGCAGGCAGGGGAGGCTCCCTGGAAAAGGAGTAGGGATTCCAGGTTGGCTTTGCAAGGGGGACAAGGTGGGGTGGCACATCGGGGAGGGAAGAAAGGGGGTCTCCCCAGGGCTGCGCAGATCTGAGCCGGGCTGCCCCCGGAGTCCTGTTGACCCGGCTCTGCCTCCACTTGGGTCAGTAGAGCTGGCCCTGACTTTGAAGAGTGTCCTGCTAGAACGGGAGTCTGTCCCCACCTCATCTGGCCCCCTCCGACATGCCTATTCTCTGCCCCCCTTGGGCTGGACTCAGTGGTCCCCGAAGGGCCCCCGGCAGGACTCACTCAGTGAGTGGGCTGGCGGCCAGTGCTTGCACCTGCCAGCGGCTACCCCGGCTTGCCACTAGCTCCTGGGGGACACCCGGGGATGCAAGCCCCCCGGCTGCGCACGGCACCGAGGCAGCGTGGCCGCCAGGTGCAGTCGGGCAGGGACCCCACCTCCGAATGAACGAGAATCCTTCAGGGACCCTGCTCATGGGGATCGCCTTGCAGTCGGTTGAGAGCCATTTATTGGAACAAATGGGGGGCGGGGAGCTGGAGCTCAGCCCTCTCAGGCAGGGTCAGCGCCGCCACCCACACACCTGGGTTAGGGCCGCGTCCCACGCTGCGGACTGTCGGAGTCTGCAGGACCCCCCTTGTTAGACAGAACTGGGGGGAGCTGAGGCCCAGGGAGGGGGGCAGACTTGCCCGAGGCTCCCGGGGGGGGGGGTTCAGTGCAGATTGGGACGTTGCAGCGTTGAGTCTGGAGAGCTGGGTTGTTTCTCCAGCCTGTCTCCCCGTGACCTTGAAGGAGGCTAATCAGAGCCCCCAGACCCGGCGTGTCAAACTCATTCTCACCGGGGGCCACGTCAGCCTCGAGGTGGCCTTCCAAGGGCCGGATGTAATTTAGGACTGTGTACATGTCCCTACTCTTAACAGTTAAGCGAGAGCTCACGCTGCTGCCGCCGGGTAGAAACAAGGTGCCGGGCCGGATAAAACAAGGTGGAGGGCCAGATGGTGTTTGCCACCTGTGCCCCAGACCCTGGGCCCTGGTGTCCCCTGGTGTCCCCGTCCTGGCCTCCAATATCAGAGAAGCTGAGAACCCAGTCTGAGGCTCCTGGGGGAGACCAGACCTCCTGGGACTGCAGGGGTCGCCCCCTCGTTAGACCTTCACCGTCGGCGCGGCCACTGGACTCGGACTGTTGACCGGGATAGGGCGCTGGTCGGACGGGCAGGCTCTGGCAGGCGTCAGAGGCTGGAGGCTCGGCCCCTAGGGACTCTCCACCTGGTGGGGAACGGGGCACACAGGGGCCACAGTGAGCAACTCAAACCGCGCACAATGGCGTCACGTCGGTGACTCGGGGCACGTGGTCGCCCGGCGCTGCGAGGCTCGGGGGTCGGGGCGGCTGCTGAAGGAGGGGCCTTGAACCAGACACGGAAGGGCAGGGGGAGGGGGCGGGTGGGTGAGTGGCTGCAGCTGGGGAGAGAGTGGCTGGCAGGGGGGCCGAGCCAGGGCCTGAGGCAGGGCTGGGCCGGTTCGTGCAGGGGACAGCGAGGAAACCGC